TCACTAGTAACTGTTAGTTCCAATAATTGTTCAATCAAAATAGAGTGTCAATCTTAAATAGACCCTCAAACTTTGAACATTGCCACTCCCAATGCTTCAGATGGTGCAATTTCCAGCACCTCCATTGCTATTAATATATATGGTTGTCCAGTAGGTCTCGGGTGACGTTTACTGTCAAAAAAGACTTTTCACAGCATTATCTAATAATACCCTTGTGCTGGTTATTTTTGGAAAAACCTCCCAGTTACTGAAGTGTGATTTACTGTTGGGGAAATCTAAAATGCTGGTTGGTGGAGCATTTGAGAAGTGCCAGATAATGCAAAACTTTCTGTAGGTGGCTATGACAGGTTGGATTTTACCCAACACTTTTGCCTCATGTTCTTGGGGTTACCTTGATGTAGATAGTTTGTATTGTACAAAGTCTGTCTTGTGTGCTATGTATATATTAAAGTAACTGCATTTAAAAGTTAACCCAAGTTCTGGATAAAATGATTGGTGGTATGAAATTCCCACCAAATTTCTCAATGTTTACTGAGATGCAAGATATATTGTACTAAGTGTGTATTAGATTTATTTCCAAGTTAAGACACAGAGAAGCCAAATTAAATTTTGATACTCAATTTGCAGAATGATTAAAAATCTTGAAATTAAAATCCATTCAGAAGTGATAATTATTTTTCTTCTTTTAAAAATAAAAAAGTCGGTAATATGATAGCATTATCACTAATGAATCAGCCCTACGTAAGAATTCTGAATGCAATGATTACAGGTCTATTGATGTTGAGCAGGAAATCTGCAATGAAGTTCAGATCTTTAATCAGTCTTAAAAACAAAAGAATTCTACAATACTGTTTAATCCAGAGCTGCTCAAGCCATTTGTGTCATGAAGAAACAAGATTTATTATACAGATTACTAATAAGCAGGGATTCATAGAATCCCTACATTGTGGAAGCAGGCCATTCGACCCACTGAGTCCATACTGACCCTTCAAAGAGCAGCCCACCCAAACCCAACCCCGTATACTGTCCCTGTAACTCTGCATTTTCCCATGGCTAATCCACCTGGCTTGCACATCCCTGGACACTGGGCAATTTAGCATGCCAGTTCACCTAACCTGTACATCTTTGGATTGTGGGCGAAAACTGGAGCACCTGGAGAAAATCCACGCAGAAATGGGGACAATGTGCAAACTCCATACAGACAGTCACCCGAGGGTGGAATCAAGCCTGGATCCTTGGTGCTATGAGGCAGTAGTGCTAGCCACTGAGCCACCATACACATATATTATTTGTACTCTGAGTGGCAGATTGACCTTGTATAATTTGCAAGATTAAAAACTCAGCATAGACAGAGTTGAATTAAAAACTAGCAAGCTAATGATGATTCTGTATCCAGTTATTTACAATCTTCCTTACACCTCTTCATCATGCATACACTCCTGGAACTCCCTTATGGTAAAACCATGCCAGCAAAAGCTTATCCATATGATGTAGGAGCAAGAGTCAGCCCTCGCCCCATCAAGTTTGTTTGATAAGATCATGGCTGACCTGATTACTCCACGTTCCCGTTTGCGATTGATAACCTTTCATCCCCTTGATTATCAAGAATCTATCTAACTTTGGCTTAAAAACATTTGAAGTCTCTACCTCTTGAGGAAGTATGTTCCAAAGACTCATGATCATCTATGTTAAATTGGTAACCCCTTATTTTTGAACAAGAACTCCCTAGATCTAGATTCTCCATATCATCTAGCCAAGATCCACAGGATCTTAGATGTTTCTAATAAGTTGACCTTTGTTCTTCTAAACTCCAGTTTAAATTGTAAAAAAATTGAGGCCCTAGCACTGATCCCTGTAGCGCACCACTCTTGACATCCTCCCAAGAAATAACTGATCCATCTATGCTTACTCTGTTTCCTGTGAGAGCCGATCTATATCCATGTCAATGTATTACCCATTACCTTGATCCTTTATCTTCCACACTAATCTTCAATGTGGCACCTTATCAAATTCCTTCTGAAAATATAAGTACAGTACATCCACCAGTTCTCCTCTATCCATAGTACAGATTGCCTTGATCCGCTACAATTTGTGTACCCTTACAAAGATATGCAGTTAATGCCAAATCCCCTGGCCCTACACTCATCCCTGGAACATCTGAATAACAAAGACACTGATGTCAGATTCCTATCTATTGACTTCAGCTACACCTTCAACACCATAATTCCAACAAAACTCATCTCCAAACTCCAAGACCTAGGGCTCTGCTCCCCACTCTGCAACTGGATCCTCGACCTCCTGACCTATAGACCTCAATCAGTAAGGATAGGTGAGAATACCTCCTGCACAATAATCAACACTGGTGTCCTACAAGGCTGCATAGTCAGCCCCTTACCGTACTCCATATACACTCAGTACAAATTCAGCTCTAACTCTCTTTACAAATTTGCTGATGAAACCACAGTAGCGAGTTGGATTTCGAACAATGACAAGACAGAACACAGGAAGGAGATAGACAGTTTAGTGGCATGATGTAAAGAACAATCTCTCCCACAACATCAGCAAAATGAAGGAGCTGGTCATTGACTTTGGAAAGTGGAGTGGAGAATGCACCCTCTCTATATCAATGGTGCTGAAGTGGAGGTGGTTGAAAGCTCCCAGTTCCTAGGAATAAATATCATCAACAATCATTGCCTCTTCTGCCTCAGAAGGCAAAATAAATTCCACATGTCTACAATGACTCATCAATTTTTATGGATGCACCATAGAAAGCATCTAATTCGGATACGTCGTAGCTTGGAATGGCAACTGCTCCGCCCAAGACCACAAAAAATTACAGATCTGTGAACCCAGCCCAGACCACCATGAAAACCAGCCTTCCTTCCATTGACTCCATTCACACTTCCTGCTGCCTTGGGAAAGCAGCCAACATAATCAGAGACCCCTCCCATCCCCGGTTATAATCTTTTCCAACATCTTCTGTCAGGCAGAAGGTAAAAAAAGTTTGAAAACACATACCAACAGATTTAGGAACAGCTGCTTCCCCACTGTCATCAGACTTATGAACAGACCTGTCATATATTAGAGTTGGTCTTTCTCTGCACCTTCTCTGTAGCTGTAACCATCTCTTCTGCATTCTGTTCTGTTGCCCTGGTGCACTTGTGTAAGGTATGATTTGCCTGGTTAGCATGCCATACAATACTTTTCACTGTATCTTGGTATCTGTGACAATAATAAATCACATCAAACCCAACATGTTACTATTTCAGAGGTCTTCAACAAATTGGTTAAATGTTATCTCCCATTAATGAAATCAAAATGAATGTGCCTGCTTACCTTGAATGCCTCTTGAGTTTGCAGAAGTCTTTAATAATAGCTTTTAAAATTTTCCCTATGGTTGCTGTTAACAGGGCTGTAGTTTCCTGCTTTCTGTCTCCCTTTTTGAATAAAGGAGTTGCATTCATTATTTTCCAATCTAATGTAACCTGGACTTGTTTGCTCGCAACTCCCACAACAAGTAACATATAATTTAGCTTAATTGAACACAGCCAGCTGATAATCAATGTGCAGCCTGGAAATCCCCTCGGTGGCCTGTTAACATTTATAAAGCATACATGAGAAATCTCTGACTAAGATGTCTTTAAAACTACTTGCCGTGTTTTTGAGTTTTTTTTTAAAGTGGGTGCTCTTACATTTATTTTAATTTCTCGTGTGTAGGTTTTATCAATGTTCACCTCAACAAAGAGTTTGTCTCCAAGCTGCTGACTGATCTCCTTGTAAATGGAGTTCAACCTCCCTTGGTAGGACCAAAGAGAAAGGTATGCAATTTATAACTAGGAAAGAGCAGAATATCTCTCTTTTTAATATAAGTTTTGTTTTGTGGCTATTATTTAAAATGTTACTGTGGTGTGTGACCAGTTTTTTTCCAATTTACGGTGTCTTTGAATCTCATTGTGTGGCTGTGAGGCTCTGAATTTACAATGCAGCAAGACTCTGCTATGTGCAAGTTGATAACTGTATTTCATACTTTCTAACAGTGACTTCTTTTTCTCCTTTAAAATGTTTGTTGAAATATTCACAATTTTTATAGAAAAGAAAAGCTTGCATTTATATCCCCTGCTTCACAACCTCAGGACCTTGCTAAAGATTGTACAGCTAGTGAAATACTTTAGAAGTATAGTCAGTATTATAACGCAATAAATGACATCACCAAGTTACACACACCATGTTCTCAGAAACAATAGTGAAACAAATATTCAATCTGTTCTAGTTATATTTATTGAATGATAAACATTAGCTGGTTTTTGTTTTTGTTTTTGTTTTTGTTTGCATGGTGCCATGTGATTATTTATGCTCAAATGAAAGGACATATAGGGCTACAATTAGTTTTACAGCCAAGTGTCTCACCACATAAGGTGCAACACTCCCCCACTACTTCGCTAAAGCATTGGCCAACACTTTGCACTCAAGGCTCTGGAATAGAACTTGAGCCATTACCTTTTGTTTCAGAGAATGAGTTCTGTTGTTGAGCTAAGGTTGAGATGTATTTGTTGAGAAACTGGTTTATAATGATTGAGTGAAAATCCATTCTCATTACATTGACTACTGGGAATTTTATTCCTTTTTGTGTGTTACATTCTGTGATACTATCTCAAATTCTCTAGAAATCACCAAAAAGTATCATTGATTTTTTTTTTAAACTAATATTTGCCCAAATATTTCAAAGATGGATCTTTACCAGCTTCTCTCAGTCAACAGATTACATGTTTGAAATCCTAAAACTACTGTTTAAAGGCAACGTGGGAACAGAGTTTTTATATCATGTCAGCAGCCGGGAGGGAGAGTGATGTAGGGTTCTGGTTTGTAGTCTGTTATTTTCTGATTTATTAAGTGGTTTGAATAAGCCCCCCAGATTCCTGGTTCTAGACGTTGGATTTATTTAGGGAACATGAAATGAAGAAGGCAGTAGACAGGTATTGCAGGGCAAAAGAATCTCTGCATTTATTTAAAATAGAAAAGTTAAGTATAATATAAGAAATACAGGTAAATGTTGTAAACAGGGAAATTGACACAATCAACTATACAGAGAACAGGAATATTATTAAATACAATATTAGCTAGATTAAACACTATTAGATCCTAAATTCAACAGTTTTAATTACAAAATCAGACTTCCTACCCTTGAGGTTCCTATGCATTGTCACCACCCACCTTCCCCTCTCTGCTAGCTAGGTCAAAACGTTGGGGTCTCAGGAGTTTCAGCTCACCACTGAGGAAAGCATGTCTTTATGATGTGTCCAGTTGCTGTGGTTCTTGCCATCGGTTCTCTTGGTTCGGAACAGACCTGTGTCTGGTAGCTGTTTTGTTCAGGAAGCTCTAGTTGGCTTCCCCCTCTTGCATGTTTTTTGTTCCAATGAAGCCCTTTGTTTGGCTTCCCTGTTTTTGGTTCTCACTTTGGCAGTTGTGGTGTTTGGTTCCAAAGCTGCTTGTTGGGGCTGGAAACCTGCGGGGAAGCTTTTTGTGCAGAAGGTTGTTGAAAATAAAGCCTGGCTCTCAGGTGAGATCGGAGCTAGCAGTTATCCAGACTATGTGCCCCATTACCTCCACTCAAATTTATGTTGTCCATTGTACTTCTGGTGATTCCTTCTGAAGCACATTGGTTTCCTGATCGCTAAGGGTATGTGTGAATGGATTTTCATTTGAAGTTGAATGCCAACATTTCTGTGAATGGATTTCTATTGAAGTTATACTTTAATGTGGAGACCTCAGCAGGTCTGAAACCTCCACTATAGAAATAAATTATGTAATACAAATTACATACAGGTAGTTCTCCTATAATGCGATAGTTGCGTTCTTGTGTAACCACGTGTTATAGAAAATCGCATTACAGGGAAATTGCAATAGAAAATCGCTATAACCTGTACAGCAGTGGAGGTATCAGACCAGCTGAGGTCTCCTCATTAAAAGCAAGTCTCAAAGCTTGCTATTGATACAGCATAAAATACCCAATTGAATATATTTTCTTTGTAGGTGGTGGTTGATTTCTCCTCTCCAAATATTGCCAAAGAGATGCATGTGGGCCATCTGCGATCAACCATCATTGGAGACAGCATGTGCCGCTTGTTTGAGTTTGTGGGTTATGACGTTTTAAGGTCAGTGAAAGTGATTAATTATGTGCATGTTTAATTCCCACTTCAGTCGCAGGAAATTAGTAACCCGGTTTCATAGATTTACCACCCAATTACATGTAAAAGTTTGAACATTGGCATGAAAGCAAATGCTGTTGATACAGAGAATCTTAAATAAAAATGGGAACTGCTTAGCAGGTTCAGCAGCAACAGATGAGAGGAAAACAACTAACCATAAGACATAGGAGCAGAAATTAGGCCATTTGACCATCGAGCCTGCTCCGCCATTCAATCATGGCTGATAAGTTCCTCAACCCCATTCTCCTGCTTTCCCCCCATAACTCTTGTTCCCTTTGATAAACAAGAACCTATCTATCTCAGTCTTAAATGTACTTGATGACCTGGCCTCCACATCCTTCTGTGGCAGTGAATTCCATAGATTCACTACTCTCTGGCCGAAGAAGTTTCTCCTTATCTCCGTTCTAAAAGGCCTTCCCTTTACTCTAAGGCTGTGCCCTCGGGTCCTAGTCTCTCCTACCAATGGAGGCATCTTTCCCAACATCCACTCTGTCCAGGCCATTCAGTATTCTGTTAGTTTCATTTAGATCCCCCCTCATCTCTCTAAACTTCAATGAGTATAGTCCCAGAGTCCTCAAACGTTCCTCATATGTTAAGCTTTCCATTCCTGGGACCATTCTCGTGAACCTCCTGTGAACCCGCTCCAGGGCCAGTACATCCTTCCTGAGATATGGGGCCCAAAACTGCACACAATACTCCAAATGTGGCCTGACCAGAGCCTTATAAAGCCTCAGTAGTACATCCCTGCTTTTGTATTGAAGTCCTCTCAAAATAAATGCCAACATTGCATTTGCCTTCCTGACTACTGACTCAACCTGCAAGTTTACCTTGAGAGAATCCTGGACTAGAACTTCCAAGTCTTTTTGCACTTCAGACTTCTGAAGTTTCTCCCCATTTAGAAAATAGTCCATGCTTTTATTCTTCTTACCAAAGTGCATGACCTCACACTTTCCCACGTTGTACTCCATTACGTTTCAGGTCTGCTCTTTTGTCACAACTGAGAAAAGCTTAAACATGATTTGAACAAGTAATAGGTCGGAAATGATTAGGGAAAGAACAAAAGGGAAAGAATGTTTCCTGCTTCAAAAGCCAAAAGGAATGGTAATAGTAATGAAACAGTATCAGCTTGAAAAGAATTCCTCAATGGAAAACAGTGGGCTGTGATAAATTATTAATTGTTGTTGAGGATGTTAGCAGTGGTATTTCCCAAGTATCAATGTTAGGACTACTTCTTTATTGATATGTGAGTTGGATATTGGAATTCATGGTGACATTTCAAAATTTACTCATGATAGTAATGTGGAGGTATGGCAAATACAGGTAGTTCTCCTATCACACGATAGTTGCATTCTTGTGTGACCTTGCACTATAGAAAATCGCATTATAGGGAAATCGCTATACTTGTCCAGCAGAATATTTGCATTATCCAAACAGCGCCCACTATTCATCAATCGCGTTACAGCCAATTTGTGTTTACAAAACATGCATTATAGCATAACTACCTGTGCAGTAGTCCCTGATTTACGAATGTCCGACTTATGAATAATACTTAGGAGATCCCAAAAGGGGGTGTGTTAGTATTTTAAAGATCTGACAGGTGAACATTTCCACGTATTTACAAATGGCTATTTTAGTGTTTTGTATTGTGTTCCGACTTACAAACATACTCAAGAATGGATCCTGTTCATAACCTGGGGACCGCCTGTAGAGAAGGTGACAGCAATTGATTACAACATAGCATAAGCTAACAGAGTGAACAGATCATTGACACAGATTTGCTATACTAGTATAGAGAAGTGTGAGGTAGTGCATATTGGTATAAGGAATAGAGACAGGCAATATCAACTTAATAACAAAGTTTTAAAGTACAGAGGTGTTGGGAATTTACTTAAATTGACCTTTGAAAGTGACAGTGAGCTGAGGAAGTTAAAAGCAAAGTATATGAAGCTTCGGTTTCAGAAATAAACATACTGATTATAAAAGCAGAAGTTATGCTTAACTTCCATAAAATTCTGGCTAGGCCATTGTTTAGAATATTGCATTCGGTTATGATTACTACATATTAGGAGTCTTTGAGAGGTTGTAAACGATATTTAACAGATTGATTCCTGGATTAACTGTTAAGGTTAGGTTTGAGAAGCTGAGGTTGTTTTCCTTAGAGCAAAGGAGATTTGACACAGGTGCCCAAGAAAGGTTTATTTAAGGTAGACTTGAGAAAAGACTTTTGTATTACTGATCGTACAAAGACTAGGAGAAATGCATTTAAGGTTTGCCAAGAGATGTAAGCGGCTGTGAGGAAGAATTTTATTTTACAGTGAGTTGTGTGATCTGGAACATGCTGCTCACGAGAGTGGTAAAAATAGAGACAGTCAATAATTTTTAAAAGTATTCAATGGGCTTTTGAGGGAAATAAACTTGCAGTAATATGAGGAGCAAGCAGGGGAATGGAACAGATTGTATGGGTGTATAAAATACTGGCAAGGCATTAGGGAGCCAATTTACCTCTCTCAACATGATGATATTCTTGTGCACAGCTTTGATTATTGTTAAACTTAAGAATTACAATGTGCAGTACCTAGTTGCACAAATGAACTGCAAGTTACAGCATGCAAATTGAAGTCATTTGGATATGAAAAAATACAAGTTAGCTGTGTAATTCCTAAATTCAGAGTAGAATCGAGTATGACTTTATTAACTTACCTTTTTTAAAAAATCAGACTTAAGTGTGTATCCTTTTCGTACAAGCTTAAATAGAGTATGTGTGTATAAGCCCATCAATTGCAAAGAGTGTTGCTTTAACACTGACTTACTTACCTCATATTAAGGGTTATTTCTTCTTTTTCAATTTTTAAGTTTGGAAGGTGGTCACTTACTGTTGCCTTTACAACAGAAGCTGCATCTTTGTCATTGAGTTCGAAACTAATATCTATTCTTCAAAATAATGAAAATTATATTTTAATTATAGTGAAATGCAGATTAATTAGTGTAAATTGATCACATTATTTGAATTCTGTTTAAGTTGTTGTTTTCATGTTTTGTATACTTCTGTGTATACTGCTAAAATACAGTCATCAGAAAGTTAGTGGGGGAAGCCAAAGGCTTTCACCTGCAATCAGAAAGAAAAGTGTTTTGAATGCTTCTATTAAAAGCTTGAATGAAGTATACATTTTACAGTGATTAAATAAATGGTGATGTGCAGATCATCACAGTTGGCAAGAACTAAAGCAATAAAAGAAATTGCATCTCATTTCTTCGCAACAGTGGAAAGACCTTTATTGGATTCATGCTAGAATGGCTCAGTCTGCTTGCAGACCAAGTGTATCCAGATGAACATTGTGGTTTCTGAGTTTGCAGATCAACAGCAGATATGATCTTCTCCCTATGCCAGCTCTAAAAGTGGTATAGAAAACAGGGGATCAATAATTATTCATCTTTCTTTCGTAGATCCCTCTGAGATATTCAACATGCTCAGCAGGGAAAGTCTCTGAGATTTAGGTATTGACTATCTACCAAAACTTCTCAGTCTCAGCTATACACTTGACAACGTGCACTGCACTGTAGAGTTTAACGGTTCCGCTTCCAACAGTTTCAGGGTGAAGACTGAAGTGAAACAGAGTTGTGTTCTAACCACTATTTTGGTTGACTTTTGCCTACCCTGCAGATCTGCATGCTGGGTCAGATAGCAGGCTCTACAGTCTGTCAAAACTAAAGTAAAGTACTGCAGCACAGCTTGATCTGAGAATTTCTCCAAGTTGATCATGCCTGCTGGTCACTCACATTGGAATTCAGCTACAAAAAAAATTGTTTCTTCCTTGACTACATAGGAACAAAGGATTTGGGAGAAGAAGAGATTCAAGGAGGTTGTGGCTCATCTGGTTAAGGTGTTAATTCCATCATATCTGCCCATATTCCTGAATCCCTTGTCTATAAAACAAACTATTTAACAGAGCCATAAATTAATTCAGTGATACAGCCTGTACTGCTTTGTGAAGAAGAGCATTCTCAAGACTGATAGCCATCAGTACTCTCTTTTTTGGTCCCCTGGTGTGTGGACTTCCAAGGTCTGTGCGTGACATCGACTTCCAAAACCAGAAGTAACTGCGTTAGCACGTGAATCGGCGTATGTAGAACCTTGGAGGAACTGCAAATTGGCTGATTGGCGCAGAGCTGAGTGTGAATGTTAGTAACTGTCTGAAATAAAATGTTCATATCTTTTTTTATTTTAAAACTGTGTCCGCTAGTTCTAGTTTGATTTAATATGATTTGTTATTGTCACACATACCTGAATACAGTGAAAAGTTTTGTTTTGTGAGCAGTACAGGCAGTTCATAACATACAAGGAGATTCAAATCATAGAGGGTTTAGACGGAGTGAGGCATACAGGGTTATGGCTGCACAGGAGGTGCACAAAAGCAAGAGCAACATTGGATTTGAAATTAGAGAGGTCCATTTAGCAGTCTGATGACAGCAGGGAAGTTCAAGAAGCTGTTCTTGAACCTGTTGGTTTGTGTGTTCTAGCTTCTGTATCTTCTGCCTGACGGAAGAGGTTGGAAGAGGGTATTGCCAGGGTAGGAGGGATCCTTGATGAAGTTGACAGCCTTTCTGCCGCAGTGTGGAAGTGTAGATGGATCTTCCCAGTATCCAACATATCAATTCCCCCTCTGGATTTCATATGTTTCATAACTTCACCTCTTCTAAACTTCAGTCGGCATAGACCCAATTTATTCACCCTTCATAAGATAAGCCCTTCAGCCCAGGAGTGAGTTGAGTGAATCTTATCTGAACTGATTCTAACAATTAAATTCCTTTCCAAATAAAATCATCAGAACTGTACACCATACTCTAGACCTGCTTTTACCGTGGCTCAGTTTAGCAGCTGTAAAGCTGTCTGATTTTTATATTCAATCCCCCTTCCATTAAATACAAATATTCCACTTGACTTTCTAATCACTTGCATTTGCATACTAACTTTTTTGTGATCCATGTACCAGGCTATCTAGATCCCTCTGTACCACAGAGTTCTACAATCTCTTTAAATAGTATATTGTTCTTCTGTTTCCTGCCAAAGTAGATGAGTTCACGTTTTCACACATTAAACTTCCACCTGCTAATTTTTTGTTTTCCCTTTTGCCCTAACTTGTTCTCCCATCAACAAAACCATGGTCCATGGTGTAATCACATCTTTACTCTTGATCACACTAAGACCACAATGAATAAACGTAATACATTCTGCTACCTTTGGTCCATGATGTATAGCAGATACAGGCATGGAAAAAGCAGCTACTGTTGGCCACCACGTGAAACATGCATGCAATGTCATCTGGTGTGTCTGAAGATCAAAATGCTGGCTCCTGAGGCCAGTTTTCTCAGGAGCTCATAAGTGAGTGATTTAAAGCTGTCTTGAAAGACAACACGACAGTTTTCATCAATTGCATGCACACACCTTTGCCCCTAATTACTCAGAAGACTAAGGAAAATCAGCATGTCCGCAGTGATTCTTATCAATTTTTATAGATGCACCCTAGAAAGCACCAGCTTGGTATGGCAACTGCTTTGTCCGAGACCACAAGAAATTAGAGAGCCATGAGCACAGCCCAGTCCGTCATGAAAACCAGCCTTCCTTCGTTGATTTTGTCTATGCTTCCTGCTGCCTCTGGAAAGCAACCAACTTAATCAAAGACCCCACCCACCTCCATTATACTATCTTTCACCCTCTTCCATCGGTCAGTAGATTCAAAAGTTTGAAAACACGTACCAACAGATTCAAGAACATCATCTTCCCTGCTGTTATCAGATTTATGAATGGATCTCACATATATTAGAGTTGACCTTTCTCTGCACCTTCTCTGCAGCTGTAGTACTGTATTCTGCATTCTATTCTATTACCCTGATGGACTTATGTAGGGTATAATTTGTCAAGACAGCACACAAAGCAATACTTTTCATTGTATCTTGGTATATGTGACAATAAAAAATCAAATCAAATCTCACAAATTGTAAATACAGGAAATCTGATCAAGAAAGAAGCAAATCCAAAAAATAAGTAACACAGGACACGTCAGAGGCAGAGGTTATGATCTAAATGTGTTGAACTGTACATTGAGTACTGAGGGTCTGTTGAAGTGAAAGAAGAGGTTCTGTGCCTTAATATTACATTGAGCTTTGAAAGCCACAGCAGATCCTGGATAGAGGTCAAAAGGGAAGCAAGGTAGAAAATTAAAATAACAAATGATAGGAGGGGCTTGGAGTCATGCATGTAGTCTGTAGAATATTCTGGGTGACTGCAATGGACCAGTGTGCCACAGAGGGAATGGTGAAAAGGGAGGGCAGTAGAATATGTGCTTAATAGTGGTATCTCACTGGATCTGGTAAAAATAGCAGAAGATGATCCATTGATTACAGAGGCTGGTGGAGGGAAGGTGACTATAAGGGAGCTCCTGTCATGGTTCTTGGAAACAGGGAAAGGAAAAAGAGCAGAGATATGAAAAATGAATTGGACTTGGTTGAGGACCTTGTCAGCTATGCTGGTTGGAGATCCGTGGTTAAGCAAGATGTGCTCCTATGGAAGCTTGCACCATTAGAATGTTTGGATAGAGACAGTAAGACTTAGAATGGCATGCAATCCTTACAGGTTGTAGGAGTGTAGGGGTTTGTAATAAATTAGTAGCCTATCTGCAGAAATAGAGTTGGAGAAGTTGAGGAGGGAAAGAATCAGAGATGGAGCAGATGATGGTGAAAGGAGGATTGAAGTTGGAAATAAAGTTGGTGAAATTTTTCATAATGAGAGCAGAAGGTGGCACCAACAGTGGCAAGGGTGTGCTGGAAAACTAGATAAAAGAAGGGTCACTAGTAGGATGAGAATAATGAATTTTCCAAATATCCCATAAAAAGGATAGAATATTGAATGTTTTGCATAGCTAGGACCCATTTAGGTACCTTTAGTAGCACCTTTTATTTGGAGAAACCAATTATTTTGGCACTCATCAAGCAGAAGAACTTCGCTGGCTCATGTAAGAGAGATGACGCGTACCCATTGAAGCTGCAAACATTGATTCTTGCACCTGGGAAATGCTAGCTGATGACAGCAGAAAATGATGACATCATCTGCCTGTCTACATGGTCCACCAACATGATCAGTAGCCTGTGGCAGAACCTGCGTCTTATCGATTAATCTTTTCAGCCATCAGCAAAAGTGCACGACATGATGCGACCCCATTTCCAATGAATTTGTGAAAGGGTGCTAGCAACGCCTAAATAAATGCAGTGCTCAGTCTTCTATTTTCCACTTCACTGTAGCCAAGGATATGAAATGATCATTATAGAAAGATTTTGTGACGCTTTTGTAATGCAATTTCATATTATCACCCTTTTTATATAACATCTTTGTTAATTTCAGGCTAAATCATGTTGGTGACTGGGGGACACAATTTGGTATGTTGATTGCACACTTGCAGGATAAGTTTCCAGATTACCTGGTTGTTTCCCCTCCAATTGGAGATCTTCAGGCCTTCTATAAAGTAAGTTGCATCTGATGTTGTTCATGCTGCTTACATTGCTTGCCCATTTGTATACCAGAGCTTGACCAAGTAAATGGAACATTGTAGTAATGTTATAGTAGTTGACCACCCATGCCATTGTTCAGCTATAGAAATGAAATTAATTTTCATTTTCTTCCTTCTCCCCTTTCTATTTGCTTTTTCCATGCAAAGCTTCCATTTTGTGATATTACTTCTTTAACTTTCTTTCACATGTGAAATAAGGAGTGCTGCTACAACCCAATATTTTCAGTTGCAATGTTTAAACTGCTTCAACCTCTTGCTTTCTCTTGCCATATTCTTGGACTGCTTAAAAAAAACATAGCTAGCAAAGCCATCATTTATTTCCAATCCAGATCTGCCCTTGAGAAGCTATTGGAGAGATGATGCTTTGAACTGCTGCATGCTGTATTGTGGAAGAGTCACCACAATGGTATTAGGTAGAGTGTTTTAGGCTTTTGACCCAGTGATAGTGAAGGATCTATATTATATGTCCAAAAGTGAATGATGTGTGAGCGTTAGACGAGAACCTGGAGGTTGATATTCCTATGCATTGATTGCCCTTTTATTTCCAGGTGTTGGAACTTGTAGATTTGGAAGGTGGAGTTTCAATGATACAACATAGTTGACATATGGAAGAGGAGCATTGAATCCAGTAGAGCAGTTTTCAATGATCTAGAAACTGATTCAAAGTGAGTGTTGTTTTGAGACTGGTAACATCTAATATATGATGACTTAGTGGGTTAATTAGATTTTAAGTATAAATTTGACCAAGGCAAAACACACAGGAAAATGTGATTTGGCTTTATAGACCTGTCAGATGCTTGTAATTTATAGACAGATACTAGACCAAGACTTTGTGAGAGATTTGATAATTGCCTATTGTTCCACCCAAAAGGTTTACAAGAATCCTCTGGGGATGGAAGTAAGGGTGACTGTTGGGCTTCTAAGAAATGAGGAATGAGTCTGCAATCTTTTCAAATATCTGGTTTTATTTTGTCTTTTATATGTAAACTACAAGTTGAGAGCTCTGCAGCAAAAGCTTTATTCATGCCTCTTATACATTTTCACTTGATCCTCCCTGACACCGCCAGTATCGGTCGATACATTTTGTTAATCTATCCTACAAGATCTGGGCAATAGTTTCTTTGGCATGTACTTCCATATCTGCTTCTTGATCATACCTGCAAGGCAGCTTTTTGCAATAGCATTTATAAATTTAACCTTTGTTATGCTGTAGCTTAATTGCACAATTTTCAATCTCCTCCACAGTGACCTTCCTCACTTTCCCTCCTGCAGAGTCCTAGTTTGGATTATCATTTCTTTTTCAAGGCCAATTAGAGATGGCAACAAATGCTGGTCCTAGCTAGCGAAAATCATACCGTGAAAGAATAAAGAAAGTAGAAAATTGCCATGTGTCATTCAGAATAATTTATTACGCCTGTCTTTCTGGCATGATATGCTGAGTAGGAATGAGAAGAAAAAAGAAACTAATTTTATGACTGACTGCTTTGGCTAAATGTAATCTTGTATCACAATGTTACAGTATAGAAGCTGGTTGTTCGACCCATCATGTCTGTGCCGGCTGTCCAGATAAGCATTGTGACTTCATACCATTCTCCTGCCTTTTATCCGTACCCTTGCACATTGTTTCTCTTTAAGTAATCATCTTATGTTGTCTTGAATGCCTTCATTGAACTCCTGTGTCTACCATATGTCCAAACAGTGCATTCAGACCCATATTGTATCCCAAAGCAAATGTAGATCTTTAAAGTATTCATTAATGAATTTAAAGTAAATTTTATCTGCAGTGAAGCATCTTGCTCCATCATGCATCGTTTAGTTACTTTAAAGCAGATAGTTTTGCACTTTAAATGGAGAATGATGCTTGTGTTGAATTAATTATATGAAAATAAGCTCACTGAGCAACCATGATTTGTGAAACAGTTTATCATCAAAATTATAAGATGAGATTTCGATTGTGGTCACTGTCACTCACGCATTATATAAAGCAATCTAAATGTATATATTTAAATGTTGTACCCTGTTTAGTTTAAGCTGAGTGGAATGTGTCTTTTTGAGATGATTGTCAAGACATTGCTGAGCTAGAATGCTCCATTGAAATGTTGCACTTGCTGTCTTTGCTGAAAGATTGTTTGTGATATGCTGACTGCAGATTGCTAGAAGTTAATTTTCTATTATTGGCAAATAATACTGCTTAAAATTCACAGAATTACATTGCATAGAATATACAACACAGAAACAGGCTATTTAATTCATGTGGCCCATGACTCTGTTTTTCTATGTATGAGTCTCCTCCCATCCCACCTAATTAAACCTGTCAACATAACCTGTTCCTTTGTCCCCTATATGTTTATCCAGCTCTTGCCACACTTCCTATGGTAGCATATTCCACTTTCTAACCACTCACTCTCTAAAGAGGTTTTTTTTTCCCCTGAATCTTCTATTGTATTTATAATCAGCTGTCTTATATTTATAACCCTTGGTTTTGGTCTTGCCTGTGAATAGAAACGTTTCTCTGCCTACCTTACTGAACCTCCCATGATCTTAAATATTTCCGTATTGCAACCTGTTCCGTTTTGCCCGATAGATCTAAGTTCTCAGTTTTAGATTCATTCTGGTAAATGGTACTCCCATGGCTCTATAACTTTTATGTAATATGCAGCCCAGAACTGTTCACCATACTTCAGGTGGGATTTAACAACAGTTCTGTGCAATGTTGCAAAACTGAACTTGTCATAACTTAACTCATCTGCTTTTCACTCCTATCCCACCAGATATCCACTGCTTAATTCAATGTCAGTTTTTTTTTAAAGGTTACTGCTTTATTATAGCCAGGATTTGAGTACTCCTGTCAAACAAGCACGCAAACTTAGGTCAGAAGTAAATCAGTTAGCAGTTTGAATCTGTTAACATAAGAACATAAGAACTAGGAGCAGGAGTAGGCCATCTGGCCCTTCGAGCCTGCTCTGCCATTCAATAAGATCACGGCTGATCCTTTCGTGGACTCAGATCCACTTACCCAAGTTCTCACCGTATCCCTTAATTCTTTTATTGTTCAAAAAAAATCTACCTTTTTTTAAAAAACATTTACTGAAGTAGCGTCAACTACTTCACTGGGCAAGGAATTCCATAGATTAACAACCCTCTGGGTGCAGAAATTCCTTCTCAGTTCAGTCCTAAATCTGCTCCCTCTAATCTTGAGGCTATGCCCTCTTGTCCTAGCTTCACCTGCCAGTGGAAACATCCTCTCTACTTCTATCTTATCTATTCCCTTCATAATTTTATATGTTTCTATAAGATCCCCCCTCAATCTTCTGAATTCCAATGAATATAATCCCAATCTACTCAGTCTCTCCTCATAAGCCAACCCCCTCAACTCTGGAATCAACCTAGTGAACCTCCTTTGCACCCCCTCCAGTGCCAGTACATCCTTTCTCAAGTAAGGAGACCAAAACTGCACACAGTACTCCAGGTGTGGCCTCACCAGCACCTTGTACAGCTGCAACATAACCTCTCTGCTTTTTATTTCAATCCCTTTAGCAATGAAGGACAAAATTCCATTTGCCTTCCTAATTACTTGTTGTACCTGCAGACCTACTTCTGTGATTCATGCACAAGGACACCCAGGTCCCTCTGCATAGCAGCATGCTGCAACTTTTTACCATTCAAGTAATAATCCTTTTTACTATTACTCCTACCAAAATGTATGACTTCACATTTATTTACATTGTATTCCATCTGCCAGACCTTTGCCCACTCACTCAATGTATCTATGTTCCTCTGCAAAGTTTCACAGTCCTCTGCACACTTTGCTTTGCCACTCATCTTAGTGTCATCTGCAGACTTTGACACCCTACATGTGGTCCCCAACTCTAAATCATCTATATAAATTGTAAATAATTGCGGTCCCAACACCGATCCCTGAGGCACATCACTAGTCACTGACTGCCAGCTAGAATAGCACTCATTTATCCCCACTCTTTGCTTCCTGTTCGTCAACCAATCCTCTATCCATGCTAATACTTTACCCTTAATGCCATGCATCCTTATCTTATGCAGTAGCCTCTTGTGCGGCACTTTGTCAAAGGCCTTTTGGAAGTCTAGGTACACCACATCCACTGGGTTCCCATTGTCCACCTCGCTCGTAATGTCTTCATAGAATTCCAAAAGATTTGTCAAGCATGACCTGCCCTTCATGAACCCATGCTGCGTTTGCCCAACGGGACAATTTCTATCAAGATGCCTTGCTATTTCTTCCTTGATAATAGACTCAAGCATCTTCCCCACTACAGAGGTTAAGCTAACCGGTCTATAATTCCCCATCTTTTGTCTACTTCCCTTTGTAAACAGTGGTGCCACTGTTGTGCTATTGAATCAGATCATAGCTATACTGTTTGTATTTTGAATTCCACATTCCTGTCTACCCCTTGATAACCGTAGATGCTCGTTAGACAATGGAATCAATTTACCTGCGCCTTAAAAATATTCAGTGGTCCCACCTCCTCCATCTTCTGAGGCAGAATTCCAAATTTGCACAACCCTCAGGAGAAAAAAAATTCTTCTCATCTCTGTCCTAAAATGGAAACCTCTAATTTTTAAACAATGCCCCCTGGTTCTGGACTCACCTGCAAGAGGAAACATCATTTCTACAGCCAACTTGTCAAGCGCATTCAGAATCTTATATACTTCAAACAATCTATTGCCCAATCTTCTGAACTGCTGTGGAAGCAAGCACAGCCTGTCCACCCTTTCCTCATAAGACAACCTGTTCAACCTGGATCTCAATCCAGTGTCCTGCTTCTCTACCCTGTTTACTGATGTTTGAAATTCTCAACAACTGTCCTATGTCTACAGGAATCCAAAAAGAGATTTGATGAAGAGGAAGCCTTTAAGAAACGGGCGTATGAGTGTGTAGTACAACTGCAGAGCCACAATCCAGAAATTATTAAGGCTTGGAATCTGATCTGTGATGTTTCTCGGAAGGGTAAGCCAGAAATAAAGGCCATACTTCTTTTCAGCTTAGAGGTATCAAAGTATGTGGATCAGATCCTGATAAATGTGACTGAGGTATACATCAGCCATAATTCAGCTTAATGATGAGGTCAGAAGTCACATGACATCAGGTTAAAGGCCAACAGATTTATTTGAAATCATAAGCTTTTGGAGCGCTGCTGTCACTTTACCTGATGAAGGAGTAGCACTCTGAAAGCTTGTGATTTCAAAGAAGCGTGTTGGACTATAACCTGGTGTCGTATGAGGGGCCAAACTGTCCACAGTGTTGCAGATGTGATCTGATTACTGCCTTGTGTAATTTTTGCAAGACTTCCTTATTTTTCTACTCTATTCCCTTTGAAATAAAGCTCAATGCCACTGCCCTTCTCTCGAACATGGCCACTTGAGACCAGTCTGGTTGCCAGTATTTTGTAGGTATTGTTTATAAGGTCCCATAGGGTGAGCTAAGAGTAATTTTTTGTACATTAGTGTGATTATGTCTAGTCTTGAAAGTGTCTTTAATGGTGTTTGTGGTGGGAATTATTGCCTGGTTAAGTAGTAGGAGCTTGCAGAGTTCATTGCATCCAGATACTTCCTCAGACTGTAGTTTTATTTATTACTATATAGATCCCCTTCATTATAACGGTGTAGTTCTTCAAGTGTGTTGTGAGAGGAAAGTTTACAGGTTGTTGAAATGCTTACTTTGAGCTAATCTGCGTTCTGAGGTATTTAATAAAGATAGAAGTTTTCAGATTTATTTATTTCCCTGGGACACTTTACTTTCGGCATTCCTCACTGATATAGGTGTTGTATTCTACACTTTTTTGGTCAACACCAATTGTTTTCCCAGTTTGAGTATTTTTCAGCAACAGCTATTAGCCCTTGTCTTCATTTTGTAAATTGTTTTTCCAGAATTCCAGAAAATTTATGACTGCCTGGATATACAACTGATTGAAAGGGGAGAATCATTCTATCAAGATATGATGGTTGACGTTGTTAAATTGTTTGAGGAGAAAGGTAAAAATGAGACTGGAATGTGGTAATGCTGCAGCTTCTATTTAACTAAATAAAAATTATTTTTAAATCTTTCTCACAATTTTCATATTTTGTACACAACTTTCTGAATCTATCACTGCTTTTGAAACTTAGATTTTTATGATCCAAATATTAACTCGTTCCTGGCATTAAGTGAAATTTGCTGTTCTGTTTTTCTAAAATCTATAATTTTTTAACTAAGTAAAATAAAATAAGATAAGATGGAATGTAATTAAATCTAGCTATAAAGATAGGAATAATGAACCATTCCAGTTTAATTATTTTACAATTACGTGAGGAAATAATTATAACCATTCGAGGTTTGTTTCGTATCATTGCCATACCGATGATGAAAACCAGGTTACATGATTTATCTGACAGGTATGACCCAACTCGATGAAGGCCGAAAGATTGTTTTTCCACCAGGATGTTCACTGCCTCTGACAATAGAAAAATCAGATGGAGGCTACACTTATGACACCTCTGACTTAGCAGCTCTGCGACAGAGGATTTTTGATGAGAAAGCTGATATGATTATCTATGTTGTGGATAGCGGGCAGGTGAGTTTGATTCTGAGGCACACTGCTACTGTTTTATCATTCCTGCATATTGAAACTAAGACGTGTTTTGAAGTTAATTTAATCTACTCATTTGGGATTTCAACTTGGTTACTTCAGAAGTAAATCTGCAGATTGTTATTGACTGTCATGTTGCTGGATTGCTAAGTGAGCTTAAGATGTAGGAGCAGAAATAGGCTATCTAACCCATCTCATCTGCTACCTATTTTTGAGGTCATGGTTGATCTGATAATCTTCAACCCTACTTTCCTGCTCTTTCCTTATAAGCTAACTGTTGATTCCTTAGCTCATTAAAAATCTGTCTATATCAGCATCAAATCCTCTTAATGACACAGCCTGTATAGCTGTTTTGGCAAACGCAACAAGATATGGGCAATAAAAACTGAACGAACTGTGGATGCTGTAAATCAAAAGTTGCTGGAAAAGGTCAGAAGGTCTGGCAGCATCTGTGAAGCAAAATCAGAATTAATGTTTTGGGTCTGGTGACCCTTGCTCAGAACTGGACTTGAAACGTTAACTCTGATTTCTCTTCACAGATGCTGCTGAACTTTTCTAAGATCTGGACAATATCTAGCTTGGGCTGATCAGTGGCAAGTAACATTTGTGCTACACAAGTGCCAGGCAGTGATCATCTCCATTCAGAGACAATCTGATCATCCTTTGAAATTCAATAGTGTTACCATCCCCCACTGTCAACATTTTTGACATTACTAATTGACCAGAAACTTAAATAGACTTGCCACATAAACAAAGTCGATATAAGTGCACCTCAGAGACTAGGAATACTCTGGCGAGTAACTCAACTCCTGACTCCACAGTACCTGTCCACCATCTACAAGGCACAAGTCAGGCATATGATGGAATAGTCCCAATTACCTGATGGGTGCAACAACACTCAAGGAGCTTGACCCCATCCAGGACAAAGCAGTCCGCCTGATCGGCATTACATCCCTGGACACTATGGGCAACCTAGCATGGCCAAATCTACCTAATCTGCACATCTTTTACTGCAGTTGGAAAGTGGAGCACCCGGCAAAAACTTACACAGACACAGCCAGAGCGTGCAAACTCCTCACAAACAGTCATTCAAGACATTAAACCCAGGTCCTTGGTGCTGTGAGGCAGCAGTGCTAACCACTGTGCCTCTGTGTACTATCTACAAGATGCAGTGTAGAAATTCACCAAAGATTCTTAGACAGCACCTTCCAAACCTATGATTACTTCCTTCTCGAACGTAAAAGGCAGCAGATACTTGGGAATACTATATACTTTATAAACTGCTCTTTCCACTTGTACTGCCACCCTTCAGTGATCTGTGCACATATGCACCCAGGTCCCTCTGCTCTTGCACCCTCTTTATAATTGAACTATGAATTTGAAACATATAGGATTCTTACGGGGCTTGACAGGGTAAACGCTGAATAATTCCCCTCATAGGAGAGTCCAGGACCAGAGGATGCAGTCTCAGAATAAAGGGGTGCCAATTTAAGACTGAGACAAAGAGGAATTTCTTCTGAGTCTTTGGAACTCCTTGCCACAGAGAGCTGTGGGACCAGAGTATCTGTGTATCTTTATGGCTGAGATCAATAGATTCTTGATCAGTCACAGAATCAAGGGTTACAGAGAAAAGGCAGGAATGTGGACATGAGGAATGATGAATCAGCCATTATTCTGTTGAATGGCAGAGTCATTGTCCCTTGAAGGGACAAACAGCTACTCCTGTTCCCATTTCTTATGGTCTTATTGTCTAACTCCCTATTTTGTATTGTCTTTCAACGTTCTTCCTACCAAAATGTATCACCTCACATTTCTCTGCACTGAACCTCATCTGCCACATCTCAGCCCACTCAACCAACTTGTCAATGTCTCTTTGGATTTCTACACTGTCCTTCTCAATGTACAATTCTTCCAAGTTTTGTGAAATGAAGGTAAATTGCTAGTGAATTAAGTAATTAGAGAGTATTAAATTACATTTGAATGGCTGTGTAAAATTCTTAGTCAAATATTATAAGTAGCTCCTCCAATAACCCGATTGTTCCAATATCAAATCATAACTTCCATTCTGCTATGTGAGAATGCGGAGATCTGAGCTTTAGGTTGTTGCCAAGAATTATTATTCAATAAATTTTATAAATTGCTTGTTTTTACTTCTACTCCAGAGTGTCCATTTTCAGACTATCTTTGCCGCAGCCCAGATGATTGGCTGGTATGATCCCAAAAAGATCAGAGTGGAACACACTGGATTTGGTGTGGTCTTAGGCGAAGATAAGTAAGTGCTCTTAATTCCCATTTCTGTGGTTATCTGGCACATAATCCTTTAAATTTTGAGTCATGATTCTTTGAAAACAGTGAATCTTCCTAACATTTTTAAGTGTTTTTGAACCTTTGAAGAAATTGTGCTTAGGTAACACACTATCCTTTCATTTCTCAAACCTGAGGTTAAATTCTTCTGGGAGAAGTGTTTAATGAGGAGTGGATTTAACCCATTGCAAACCAGGAACCACAGTGTGAAATTTAAGGCAAATTGGCTATCACTCAGGAAGGCAACAGATCTGGTGACTGCAGAAGAACGTTGAGAAATCCATACTGGTACAGAAGAACATAAACATAAACATAGAACGTAGAACAGTACAGCACAGTACAGGCCCTTCGGCCCACGATGTTGAGCCGACCTATTATCCTACTAAGATCAACCTACCCTGCATACCCTACATTTTACTATCCTCCATGTGCCTTTCCAAGAGTTGCTTAAAAGTCTCTAAAGTATCTGACTCAAGATTCCTTTTGTTGTTTTTTTCTACTCAACCTGGGTCTCTCATTTTGGGGGATGGACACTACCATAGAGCCCCTGAATGTTAGGCTAATTGGACTACTGTTACTTGAGGTACTGCTCAGATTTGAATCTAGGATCTCTTGTTTTCAAACAGGCACTTTAACCAACTATGCCAAGGTTTCTCAAAAAGAAAGCTGTTGTTTTGAAAATTGAGTAGCATTGTTGGGAATAGGGAGAACTTGCATGGCAGAATTAGAGATAGTAGGAACTGCCCATGCTGGAGAATCTGAGATAACAAGGTGTAGAGCTGGATGAACACAGCAGGCCAAGCAGCATCAGAGGAGCAGGAAAGCTGACGTTTCGGGTCAAGACCCTTCTTCAGAAATGGGGGAGGGGAAGGGGATTCTGAAATAAATAGGGAGAGAGGTGGAGGCAGATAGAAGATGGATAAAGGAGAAGATAGGTGAAGAGGAGACAGACAGGTCAAAGAGGCGGGGTTGGAGCCAGTAAAGGTGAGTGTAGGTGGGGAGTTAGGGAGGGCCACAATGATGCCACCCGAAAGCTGCAGGAACAGCATCTCATATTTCGCTTGGGAACCCTGCAGCCCAAGGGTATCAATGTGGACTTCACAAGCTTCAAAATCTCCCCTCCCCCGACCGCATCCCAAAACCAGCCCAGCTCGTCCCCGCTTCCCTAACCATTCCTCCCACCTCAAGCCCCACCCCCATCTCCTACCCACTAACCTCATCCTGCCTCCATGACCTGTCCGTCCTCCCTGGACCGACCTATCCCCTCCCTAACTCCCCACCTACATTCACCTTTACTAGCTCCAACCCCGCCTCTTTGACCTGTCCGTCTCCTCTCCACCTATCTTCTCCTTTATCCATCTTCTATCCACCTCCCCCTCTCTCCCTATTTATTTCAGAATCCCCTTCCCCTTCCCCATTTCTGAAGAAGGGTCTCGACCCGAAACGTCAGCTTTCCTGCTCCTCTGATGCTGCTTGGCCTGCTGTGTTCATCCAGCTCTACACCTTGTTATGGCAGAATTAGAAAAGTGTTTAAATCTCTAAAGCATGGCTATCAAAAATTCACTGCTATCCTTTCTCAACCAGTCCACCGCATATTTATTAGGTTCTGTCAAATTTCTTGGATCTTAAAAAAAAGTTTGAAGAATGATTGGGTTGTCTGTATTTTGATCAGCAACAAAAGAACACTTGGGAATTTTTATACATAACAATGTTATCTTCTTTCATAGAAAGAAGTTCAAGACAAGGTCAGGCGAAACTGTGCGATTGATTGACCTACTGAATGAGGGTCTGAAAAGATCAATGGAAAAACTGTTGGCAAAGGAACGAGACAAGGTAGACTTTTAGTTGTACTGGAGTCTTTGCTACTCATTTCTTTTTAGTTTTTCTTCACCTTGAAAGAAACGTGGCAAGCTGGTGAGAATGGTTGTATTCATGGAGGTAGTGGAATTCTATCTCCAATTATCTTAAATGAACAAAAGGAAAGGTTAGGATAAACTTGTCATGAAAAAGATATTCTTCAGATTACAACGCTTTATATTTACACATCATCATCACAGAATCCCTACAGTATGGAAACAGGCCCTTCGGCCCAACAAGTCCACACCGACCCTTGGAACATCCCACCCAGACCTACTTCCCCTATAACCCACGTAATCTATACATCCCTGAACTCTATGGGCAATTTAGCATGGCCAGTCCACCTGCACATCTTTGGATTGTGGGAGGAAACCGGAGCACCCGGAGGAAACCCACGCAAACACGGGGAGAATGTGCAAACTCCACACAGACAGTCGTCTGAGGGTGGGATCAAACCCGGGTTCCTGGCGCT